GAGGTAGAACAGGTAAATCCCCGGAGGACAGTTTGGGGCTTTCATGCATCACATCAATTATATTACTTCTTCTGGCGCTCCAAAAATTCTACATTTTTCCTTGAACACCAAATTTTGAAAGTAGTAGGTCTCCCTTGACATCTACTGGATTGTAAATTCCAGCACAACTGGATGTCCAAATGCTTGTTGTGCATTCTAAAGTACACTTCTGTCTTGACCTAGTGCATATCTCAACTCCTGCAAGGTTAGTAGCTCGTTTTTATATGTGGTACACCCAAAAAATCAATCAGAAAGTATTCTGTATAGTTATAGCAGTGATTATTAAAAATTTAATATGCCAAACAGTCTTGAGTACAATAGCACAGCATAATGATCACAGAAGAAAACCAGACAGCTCAAGTTCAGATGCCTCTCTAACAGATTATATGCCTACATGCTTTTGCTTGCTTAGGAATGTAAAAGTTTGGAGAGATCTTCATTCCAAAACAAATCTTCAGCACACCCCTCTTAAACAAAAAGAAAAACTGAGAGCAGAAGGAACCTCTCTTTTCTTTTGTTCCAAAATGCTTTATAAAATTACCTTCAGAGGGTAACTAGGAATCTTAAAAATATTGTCCGTGGATTTCTGGGCATTGTTTCTGAATGCAGTTTATGACTTTCAAACTCAGATTAGACTGTTTCAGAAAATAAAAAAATGTGTCTGTCAATTGACCCAAACATATTGGTAGAATAAGAAACAATTTTTTTCCTCTGGGCACTCATCATTCAAATATAAAATGAGAAAATGCAATGTCTGTGCATACCAGAACACTTGGATAATTAACTGAATAGACACCAAAACAGGACAGTGGATTTGTTCAGGAAGTTCTTACAAGCCAGAATAGATTGGAACTATTAAACCTTGGCATAAATCCAAGCTAAGGCTCTAAAAACTACTTACATAAATACAGGCTTAGTTTTTAATGGAAACTACTGCTGCTTCTTCCTTTTACCAGTAAGCTATGGGGCAGACTTACCACCGGTTGTTCCCAGAAACAAGGGCGCAAGAAAAGGAGACATCTATAAAATGTTACTGGAAACCAAACGGCTTTGACAAATGAATAGGTTTTCAAGTAAATCAGGTAACAGACAATGTTCTAAAATATCTGTTTATACAAAGGGCATCCAACACTTCTTTTTATATGGGAAAACAGATTTTTGTAATAGTCATGATTTAGTAATATTGCTTCTCAAGAAATAGAATGATAAATTACTATTTTCCCCACCAACTAGAAAGCACTGTTCTTTTTAGAAGGCAATTTGAGTTTGAATGCTTACACATAACAAAGGAACTTCCTTACCAAAGATGCCATTACGAAAATGGAATATACAACCTGAGGGGGTTGGAGGCTGGGAAGCCTTTTTCCACACATCAAGCAAATTATCCTTAAAATTACATTATTACAATTTTAAAATTTCTTTTTCCATCAATTTCAACTATGTTAAAAATTGAAAGCTCTATTTTAAGATTTTGTATGTAGCCAGTTAATAAATTGTCGATAAGGAACAGAAAAGCACCTGGGCCATGCACACAAACCACTAAAAAAAAAAAAGAGAAAGAACAAAATTTTTGGAGCAAGTTTCTACTAAAATATGTTATATTTCATTACTTTTGTGTATTGGGAGCATGACCATTTCTATTTAAAAACAACAATAAGTAATGGATTTTTTTTTTTCTTAACAGTAGATCTGGACAAGCAGAAAGAAAGGGGGGACCCATTTTATTTTGCTTCATCAGAATATTTGAAAACTAGAACAATACAAGCAATGGAATTTAAAAATAAACAAAGCATACTGTATGACAGGAGGATGTGTCTTTAAGCTGACTTGTTTTATCTGGATAAGAGAACTGTACAAATCTCACACAAGTAAATCAGTGGTGTCTAAACCCATATAAAATAAAATACAAAATGCTAGTTTAACAAAGACCAAGGAAAGACCCTTAAGAGTTTGAGATCATTGTTTTGGAATCAAAACAAAAATAAAGCTATCTATAAAATTACCACTTTAGAAGGCTTGCCTAATGGGACAGCAATTAGATCTCAAAGAATCAAGTCATATTGCTGTCAGGTGCCCAAAACCTGCACAGAAGGCCAATACATTTTCTGCTAAAAAATATAAACAGTGGGACCAAGTAAAGGTTCAACTTAGAAAAGTGGGTCTAAGCAACAAAGTAATTTAAGGGAAAACAACTTTCCCAAGATGGGGAGAAATTTTCTAAAGCTTAAAAATGTGTATCCAATATTTATTGCTCTCTTCGTGCACTTATATACTCAAGCATCATAACACTTGATATAATATTTACAGTGATTATTCCATATCATTCCACACTGATGCCACGCTGTCATATGCAGTTTCTGTGGGCTCTGAAAGTGAGAGATTTTTACAATTCCTGAATATTGTCTGGACAAAATAATATACTGCATGCATGAACATGAAAGATGCAAGATGCATGGTGCAATGCATGCAGAATTATATAGTTTTGCTCTCCCTGCAAAATTCATAGCTAAATAGAGTGAGAAATGTGCAAGTGAAACTGTACCATTCAAGTACATACAGCTTGCTCCTGCTCCCCTTTCCAATCCCCCCCAAATCAATTTACAGCTGTACCAAACCATTTGCCAGAGTTTCAGATTCTGGTAAACAAGTTTCTCCGGGGACAAATAAGAGCACTCACAAACTTACAGCATTCTTCATTCCAGTTTGCATTGAAAACTGCCAATATTTACATATGCAACAGGTGATTCAATCATTTTTTACAACACTGAAAGCATTCAGTGAAGAAAAAAAATTGAAGATATTCAGAACCTAAAATAGCATGTTTAAGTATTTCATTCTTTTCTTAGCGATTTTTCTATTGAGTCCAATTAATCTTTTATGAGCTTGTGAACTTAGAGATTTTTTTTTTTTTATAAAAGTTGATTGAGTTAATGTACCCTGCTAGCAGGTTGTTCCAAGTTTTATTTACAACACCTGGAATTTTGGAAAGTTTTCTTAATTATTTCCTTGTGAATATATTTTATATATATATATAAACTTACTGGATCATGCTAACAATGTCTCTTTTAGGGCCAATTTTACCATTTTTTTGGATGACACTCTTCTCCATTCACTTGATTTATAACTATGCTTAATCATCAAGGAAATTTTCAGCACATGTTTAGCATGCAAAGCAGAATATTTCTGGGAAGAGTAAAGACAATATTAAAGAGTTATGTGAACAACTAGGGGTAAAAAGTTGATAATGTGGGGAATATAATTTTCCCCTGTCATAGTAAGAGAGCAGGTGTTCTCAAACCTTAGCAAAGACAGTGGTACTTAGAACCTGGTAAGCTCCAGCTCTGAATGGACGCCCATATGGACACGTCTGCAACACCTACTAGAGCCACAGAATTGCTTTATTGCAAGAGAAGTCAATCAATAATGCAGGCACACAACTATTGCACTTAAATGCTACTGGCATTTATTTTGCCAAGTCAGATTCCAAAATCAGCCGCGAAGCCACACTTCTAATTCACTATCATCTAAATAAACAGATCTGAGGATACCTGGCTTTTAGTGGTACTTTGTATGTATTTTTATAGAACTTAGGCATTTACAACACTGTCATTCTACTTATTGCCTTACTAGACCCTAGCCTTTTAATCCAACATGATAAATCCAACCTCAAAGCAAATATGCTTACCTGAAAATCAAAGCCACAACACATATCTTGGGAACTGGGGGGGCAGTGGGTTGCAGTTATTTTCATCTGGCTTTTTTATCTCTGAAGACCAGATGTCTGCTCAAATCCAGGATTTCGGTTTGGTCCTTTCTCTTTAAAAAGTACCAGTTGCTACATGGGCTCAGTGTTAGAACACAATGCACTACAGCTCTTTCAGGACATCTGATTTCCAGTACACCCTGTCAATTTACACCAAGACCACAATGTAGCTTCACACCCATCTTTAGCCCTGGCACAGTGATATAGGCTGCAAAGAATTAAAGTCTAATCAGTTGCTTTCCTCATCCTTCCCACCTGAATCACAGATCCTTGTTCAGTTGCATTGCCTGCCTGATTGTTTCAGAAGGTTTCAAGTAATAAGGCTTTCTACTAACGCTGCCTCAATCTTCTGCAGTGCTGCAGTTTGAACACACACTAAAACTTAGCTACCGTCAATTCATAAATATAACACTGACTTTGATTCTGGTATCCTGTACAAAACCTGTCTCTACACAAATGGTTTACATGAACAACATGGAATCAATGTGTAATGTGGGAAATAAATAAGAATGTTGTTGCTCTGGTTTTAAGCTGCCAAATGCTGCAAGCTTTATAAATTTCTCCTTTTTAGAACAAAGGTGAAAGAACTTGGAACACACCCTTCCTGACTGCTTCAGTTTTTCACCTGTTCCGTGAAGATTTTGCTCCATAGGCACACAGAAGGAATTTGAGAATTTGCCCAAGGTGTTTTTTAAGTTCTAAGGACTGGTGAAAAAGGAAATTGAATACTGATCCACCTTTAATGTTGAAAAACTGGGAAGAATCCCTTTTTATTGCAATGAAAACCTGTTAACATGTCAAAATTACAGCCCTAAATTGTTAAACTGCCAAAAAGCTCTATCTTTACAAATATTAGAAAGTTTACAAATTCTCTCAAAATTACCAATGCTGCATGTAATCATCTACTTAGCAATATTTAAGTACTCTAATCTCTTTACATTTTTCTCTCACATGCAGAAAAATATAACTGAATGTTATTATCCATAGATTTATTTGCTTTCCCAGTAGACTACCTTTAAATCCTATTCAATGTGAGTTGAAATCTGTAGTCTTGACAGGTATGGTTTTCTCATCTAGTGCTTGAAAGGTGCAGTATTCTCTGTAAAGTGCCAATACAGCAGTAACTAATACAGAGAAGGCCTTACAGCAAAGCTTACCACTTTGCAGCATTTCATACCAATAAAAGTTTAGTTCATACCTCTGTGATTGGTGAGGTCTCTGGATCCTGAAGGCAGAGGCGTATAGTGCATCTCTGGAGAGGTGGAGGCAGCATCATTGGAGGCCTGTGTGATAAAACAAATATTAGCAGTACTCAGAGTGAAAGTCAATGATTACGCAAAGAGGATGCACCTGCAAGCTGAGTGCTATGGTGTGGTTACAGGTGCACAGGGTCACCGGCCAGAGAAGATTAATTTGTTTTTGTTAAGGCTGCCTGCAGTCCTTCAAGGTAGCTGTACTCAATTGTTTACACAATGATATTAGGCATCATTACTAAAAGAATATTTTCATACAGCTTACAGCTTCAAAAAATTACCATATTCTTCAGGAAATCTTAGGGCAATGTTCCTCTTGGTGAAACAGATTAATATATACCTGAAGGAAGTTAGGAGTGAGTCCACATGTAAGAAAGGAGACAGAAAATAGAAAGCTGGGATAAGATACCATATTTTTCAAAACTAGAGCAAAAAACTTATTCTGCCATTCCACTGTCCTGTGAGCTAAATGAAGGGATCTCTTAAAAATTATAATGCCTGTAATGCAAAAAAAGTGGACAAGTATACAGAATTGTTAATAACAAACACTTAAAACCCACACCAGAAGTCTAATACATTTAAAGAAGTATCAAGAAGACTTGTTCAGAATCCTTAAAAGCAAAATGTTAAGGGAAAAGAGAGGAAACCCAAATCTTTCCCCATAATAAAAATTTCAAGATCTTATGATTCCAATTTAAAAATATTAAGACTGTGGAGCTGTAGTTTGCAATAAACTAATCTTCATCCAGTTGTATGTTTCATCTGAAGGAAGAGCAATATAAAGTCAAAACAAGCCACATTCACCATCTTGCTTTTTAGTTACAGAGCAGCAGTGTTGCATTGTTAGGAAGAGATATGAAAATAAAGGAATGTGTTGGTGAATATGAATCATCATTACAGTTTTTAAAATGCAGTTTAAGTTAGATGGATTGATATAATGGTAGTGTTATGTCCAGTTTCAGGCATAGTGTTTGCTCTGGAGTGTTTACAATCTACCCTTTGCAATGTACATAAAAAGATGATGGGTTTTAACAGAAGACACAAATGACAGTGTTCACTAAAAGTTACCTGATAATTTCTAATAGAAAAGATAAGGCAAATAAAGAGAATAAATACAAAAGCTAAACTATTTATTGAATCTCATAATAATTTACTAAAGGGAGTCTTGAGAAAGTAATTGCTATCTTCTACGCAGGTTGTTCCCTAATGATATATTGGTTTATAAGCTGCAAAAGTCAATCAAAGGAATCCACCTCAATCTTACTTTTTATCTTGTAATTAATCATATCCTCAAAATATTTTTTTTTTAATTGAAATGAATTCAAAACCAGATTTACAAAGTCTAGTTAAGATAAAAGTGTAAAATAGGTCTACAATGTTTTGGAGAAGAAAAAGCTTAAATACTAATTCAAATCTTAATTGCCACACTAAACCTGAGACAACAATCAGAAATCCACAATAATGAAAATTAATCATGGTAATAGTTTCTTAAAGGCTGTGACTTAGAAATCTTCTTTGTCATAGCTGTTGGACTCCTAGATGATAGATATTAAAATGTTAAGAGGTAAGTGACTGAGTAGATTAGTGTACTAAGCTTTTGCTTTTGGAGACCAGCCGGCAATTTCTATGTCAGACCATAGTCATAGTCCCATTTTCATCCCTACCAAAAACGAGGCCATAACGTGAAGACGCATCATGCATCAAAACAATCATCTTAATAGGGACAGGTTTGCCTAAACAGCAAGGATGCTACTTATTGGATATGAATAAAAATCTAGAAAATCCTGCCTCCACTGACTCACCAGTGATAACATACACTTTTCAGGGTGCCTCCTTTTCAGAGAGGTAATGCTATAGACACAACTCTCACCTTCACCTAGAGTGAATAATACTTTGATTTTAATGAACTGTAAAGATGTAGCTCAATCTATCCTGGACTATGAAGTATTGGAAATCTTCCCTCTGATGACCAATATGAGCTGAGGGCACATAACCTCTCAGAGGATGAGACAAATGCCCCTAACACCCAGCAGTGTGACATCTGAAATGAATTCCAAGAACAGGCATCTGTTCACAACTATCTGTTTTCTTTCGGCTGAGTTGTTCTGGGTAAGACAAGAAGAAAAATGTCACTAACTATTTAACATAAGACTTCATCCTTGTAAATCACTCCAAAGCTGGAGGAATAAGTGGTCCCATACTGTACACTCTAGATGTTATCTGCCTATTCAAGTGTACTTATTTGGGACTCTGATAATAGTGAAGGTTTCTCTTTGGTACTTTTATACTCAATTTAGACTGTTGACAGCTTGATGATAGCTTTTCCTAAAATTACTGGAAGAGACTTTGCCTTTTCAGCAATATACCACTGAGTGAGCAAAATTCAAGGGCTTCTAAAAAGCCTATTGGAGTGAAGGGGCAATTTAGCTTTATTTCCAATTTTAGGAAAAGCAAGAACAGGAGGGTTTGTTTATTGGTGTTTTGCTGTTATTTTATGTACAGTATATAATTCCCTGTCAAATATAGAACAGTTTTCATTACCTTTGAGCTAAGCATTCAGTTAGAGCAACTTTAATTCCATGGAATATCATCCAGGGTTAGGATTGTTTTGCACAAACACTGCCTGGAGTTCTGAATCACGTTTCTGAGTAAGCCTGTGCGCCAGCAGAAAGACAACAATTTGTTTTCCCTACCACATACTGACATTTGGCCCTAAGCTATTTTCCAAAGAGATTTGTATAGATTGTATTACTCTTAATATTCACAGGAATATTTTGACAGTGACAGCATTGACATGTGACAGTTATGTCTTCAAGTATTGGTGACATATGCATCAGAAGTTCTTGTTGCAGTGGAAGGTAACTACAAATACAAATAGCTTTGAGGAAAGCTGGTTAAAATGAGTGGTGGCTTCAGTTTTATAGCAACAGGTCACCAAATAGCTCAGTAAAGAAATTCTAACAGTATTATTACAGGAGAAGCTTGTATTATTGCAAGTGTTAAAGTCATCCAAGTTTTGCAGTCTATCATAGTATAAGGTATAAAAGTTACAAGGCCAATAAAGTTAGACTACTCACAGCCTAAGTTATGCACATAACCAAACATTTGCTAAATTGAGATATCTCTGTCTTCATATTAACCTGTAAGTTTTGTCCAAGCTAAGAATTGTTGTACTTGATACTAAATAGACAGATTGTAAGAAAGTACCAGATTTTCAAACCATGTTCATCAGAATTACGGATACTGTAGAAGCTGCAGTAGGAAAAAACCCAAACAACAACCAACCAAATAAACAAAAATAACCCAGCCAAAAAAAAAAAACCCAAAACTTAAATTCCGAGTAGTTTTAACTAAAGCAATGGTTATTGTTTAGAAAATTTTTCTTTCTGTCAATGAGTAAGATGTGGCTTAATATTAGGTTATATTGGCTATAACGGAATATAATTTATACCCATTGATAGTTGCTATTCTTCTATTTGTGTCACATAGCTTGGATTTGTATCCCAGTATTTCTGTACTAATATTTACCCTTAATTCTAAGGCATGCCGCAAATTCTTTACACGCCTACACACATCAGTAACTGTAGTAGCCATTAATGTATTATACCTGACATTTTACAATACAGGAAGAACAGTAGCATGTTGGCATGTTCTTGACAAGGGTTCAATAGATATGTAACACACTTATGGAAAGATGTGGTAAGTAAAATTGTTTCAATACATACATACAAAGGAAGATTTGGTTAGCTAACTACATTTAATTCCAAAATATTTTCAGAGGATGTCACAAAGAGAAATCTTAGTTTGATCAAGACATCATCCAAAAGAGAGATGGTAAAGTGCAGAATGAGATGTGGTAGCAAAACCCAAAATAATTAAGAAAATATTATTTACTATGGAGCTCAAGACATAGGCTAAGGATTCCCTTGTATCTATTACCTTAGAAAGTTTTTAAGTGTTTGGGATTTCTCCTTTGCAACATGTTTCTCATCTAGCATGGAAATATCTCAAATCTCTAGCATTTCAGAGTGTGACTCATTTTTTTCAGGGAACAGATGAAGAGGCAAATTTCTTGGGGACAGCATGATACTCATTCTCTAAGTCTGACCCACAATTATCAAGAATTCTTGTGTTCTGTGATACTGTTTATTTTCATTCATCACAGTTTTAACACTTGTCAAAGTCATCTAGTAAGGTCACAGAGAAATGACCTTAGCAATTTGAAAGCTTGTTGCTTCTCATTTGGTGATTTACATTCAAACAAAAATGGAAAACAATATTGTGACATTGCAGTGATCAGTCCAATGGTACAGATCACATTATCAGATGCAAAACTTGGATTTAGTAAGGAAATATGATTTATTTCAAAAGATTTTTAATATATCCACAGGGAAGCTACAATTAAGAATGAAGGAAATCACTGCATTATCCATTTTTTAGACTGACAGAAACATTTCTCCAGAAAGGTATATGATTAATGGGACAATCTGTGGTATAGCTCCAACTGAAAGGATCAACTCGTACTTGCATTTGAAAGACTTTTCCTTTTATGTAAACAAACAGTAATATTTTCCTGATAAGCTTATTCTGTCTCAAAAGCACTCAGTGCTTAAAATTAATCATACTTTAACAGATACATGGCTTATTATAAATTTAAGAAAGGTCTGCATAAACATCCACTTAGGCTAAGGACTCATTTTGGATCTCTTGGGCACACATATCTTCCCCAAGAGACACAGCGGCAACAGTCTTCAATAATTCATATATGGTTTGAAAACTTGTCTAAATACCTGTGTACCAATATGTCAGCAATATGTCAATTCAACACCTTTGTAACACTGACAGCAGCAACTCACGCATCTTAACCCATGAAGCAGAATGATTTGTTCACATTGTGATAAAACGTACAGAAACTTGCCATGGAACTCCTCCTCAAGGGTTTTTTTCCCCCAGATATTAGATATAACTAACTAGAAATTAATTGTTTACAGATTAAATATACGTATAAATCATGTGTAAATGTGTGATGA